GGGGGTATATCTATTAGAACATATATCATATATATATATATATATATAGTCTCTTTTATGTGTGTGGGTGTGTGGGTATCTATATTTATGTTTGGATAGGTATAGATAACGAAAATCACCTGTTATGAATAGGATCTGGTCCGTTGGGAACTCTCCTTTTGTTCATGTAATTGAGATCTAAGTCAGGATTGACCATAGAATAATCGTCTGGAAAAACCTTTTCCTGCTTGGGATTTGCAGTAGACGACGGAGTCATCAACGTCCTCTTCCACTTGATTTCTTCTTCACTTTTCAGGGTTCCAACCAACAAAAGCCACACAATCCCCCATCCCTGCAACTAATCTAAACATCACCACCTTACAACTCATGCACCTGCTACTCCCCATATTTTATATATATATATATATATATAATTTACTCTTGTAGGAACCAAGAGATGGAAGAAAATAATTAACCAGGAGATCAAAGTAATGGCTTCATCATAACTCCATAAGTGTACGTATAAACTGAAGAGATCAGAAGGGGAAGAAAGAAATCAATAAGAGAGATGAGAGAGAGATGAAGGAAGGTAGATAGCTAGGTTAAGGCAAGTATATATTTGTGTGTGTATATGTATACATATATATATATATAGATATGGTTTTTTTGGTTGATGAGATTGGGGTGGTTGGTACGCTTTATAGGTTGAAGCGATTCTGTTGCATGCACTTTCTCAAACGCTGAGAGAGGAGGCCACACAGCTGGTTTCGAACTTGACATGGAGGGAACCCTTTTATTATTATTATTATTATTATTATTATTATTATTATACTGTAAGGTTCTTATACAACAACCTTTTCTTTTGCTTTGATTTTGTGTATTTTCATGCAGATTATTTATATATATACCAAAAGACTCACCAATATCTACATATATGTACGTATATACCATTACGTATACTGAATAGAAAAGCTTGATAATTAAAGGATCCAAAGTGGTATAACAAGTGGTTATACTTATATAAAGCAAGTTATTTAAGCATTAATATATATACATATTATAACTAATATGCATGTCACTCACATACGTACATATTCCAAATGACTTCATCTTAAACTTATATCGATATGGTCACATGTATGTTTGGCTTTTTACCGAAAAGTTTTACACTCATTTAATCAATAATTTAATTGAATCTGACAAAGATTTCGAACTTCTAAATTTTTTTTATTAATTCATAGTTTATATACAATAAATCAATTATAATAAAATAAAAATAATATATAAATAAAGATATATAATAAAATACAGCTTAATTAAAATTATAATTTTTTATAAAAAAGAAATGTAGTAATTATTTAGTTAAACAATTTCTTTTAAAAAAAAGTTTATATTTTTATTAATTAATTAACACATA